CCATTCTCAGAGATTGGAGTTTGGCTTGTCCCTTTATCGGGGATTTCCGCAGCTGTAGTTGTCACACAGTGATTTGGCACAGTTCAGTACGTTGGGGACTAAGTCTAAAACGGAAAAAAAAAAAAAATCTTCGCAGGTCAGAGGACTCCTATTGCTGTGTCGCCTTAGCTCCTAGTCACTTCAATTGTAAACACAATGTTAACTAACTAATAGACTAAGAAAGAAGCAAAGCTAAAGCCAAAGTTTTAAAGGGAGCATCCAGATATTATAGCAGAAGTGTTTCGGAAGTGAACAAATATATTCTCTCTCTCTCTATATATATATATATACACATATATGTGTACATACATATACATAAATATACACATATATACTTACATATATATACATGTATGCTGTATTCTAGGGATGTCTGATATCATTATCGGAGGAAAAAAACCCCGATAATGATTCTTACAGATATTACATAATTATGCAAATATCGCACTGATAATATACGATGGTTAATAATGGTTTGCGTTTGTTAATGCTGATCCTGTAAGACAAATATGATGATAATGCGTGGTGGGATATCGGACAAAGGATTTTGCAGTTTTGTAGTACTTAAATTTAGCAGTGTCAATGCAGTGAAAAACGTTTTCAATTATTTTTCTACTACTCAAACCCCGACCCTGAGATGGACATTGAATGTGACTGATAATTGGCCTATCCTACAGGTGCGAGTAAAAGTGCTAGTTAGCCGTTTTTTTTTGATAGACTTCCAATCAGATGGAAACTCTCCTCAGCACATAACCAGCAAAGAAGGTCTATCTCACCTCTTACAACCAGATGGATTCCTTCATTGCTATAAGTTTAGACTAAGCCTAAAGTCCTGCAGTTTTCGAGCACCACAAACCAAACACCTGGAAGGAAAAACTGACCTACGTAGGGTTTATTGCCGTAGTTGCTAATGTTGCAGCATTCAAGTTTACATGGCTCCTCTCAAAGGTAGGCACTGAGGTGATAGAACAGTTCAGGACAAATCTTAAATCTTAAGGTAAAACACTGAAACACCATCTCCAGTGTTTTTACATCAAAAACCCAGGCCCTAGGTAAATGGGGAAAAAAATGCAATTGGCTAAAATGGGTTAAAAAAAACAAAAACAAAACACATTTACATGTCACTCAGCCCCATACAGTTGAACTGTTATATTACATGAGATGTAAAAGACCACCCCTTTTATAGACGGGGCTGCACCACTGAATGGTGTGGTCAAAAGGAACAAAAAAAAAAAAAAACACAGTGCTAACAGCAAGCTGAGTGATACGCCTAAACATAAATAAAACTTCATAACGATAAAACATACATACAAGATGCAATACTTTACTTAGTACAAATCTTTTAACAGTTACAGCTGAACCCACGTTTACGATGTGAACGCAAACCCACACGTGTTCGGAGTTGACTAAATATATTCTCTCTCTCTATATATATATATATATATACATATATATATATATACATACATACATACATACATATACATACATACATATGTATACATATATATGTATGTATATATGTATGTATATACATATATATGTATCTACATATATATACATACATACATACATACATATACATACATACATAAATACATACATATGTATACATATATATGTATCTACATATATATACATACATACATATATATGTATCTACATATACACAGATATAAATATATATGTGTATAAACACACATATATATATATATACATATATAAGCAAAGAAACGCCCCCCCAAAAAGGTCGCGTCTACTAAACGAGAGAAAAACAATGCTGAGAAATAAGATATTAATATTGAGTGTTTACACAGCATTTAATGAATAATAAAATACTTAACGGTGGTTCTCTGTCCACCTTCTTTGTCCCACAAAATGTGTGTCCGTGTCTGTGTCAAAAGACTGTACTCAGTCTCACCAGGCTGGGTACAAAAGATCTCCCCCGTAAAAACGTCATTTACACAAGGCACTTCATTTTGTAAGAAAAGAGAATCTCGGACTTCTTCTTGACCAAAAACTGCCTGCATAGCATCAGAACCAGTACCTAACCTCCCCCCCCAAGCTTCTGTGTTGAGTCGTATTTGATGTATTTTTTTTCCACAAAATTGTGTCTTTGCTTTTTCTTTTCCATTTAAAATAAGCATTTCACAAATAGTAAAATCTTTTTTTGTTTGTTTTTAAATATAAACCAGAGTTTTTTTTTTCCTCTTAGTGTGTTTGTTCTCAATACTGCCAAACTAGTTTCTGTACACGTCCTGGTGTGGGTCTTTTTGTGAGACGGTGATCCAGGGATAATGTTTGGGTTTTTTTTAATTTTCTAACAGCATGCAGAGGGAAGCCCATAACCAGCAGTTGCGAGCTGAGGCAGGGGGGTTAAGGTATTCCACAGTGAGACTCCGTAGTAAGTTGGTTGTTAAGGTATTCCACAGTGAGACTCCGTAGCAAGTTGGTTGTGTTTTGGAGATACACCGACATTGACGAGGTCGAAAAAGCACAGGCACTCTGAGCTGTTGTTGGATTGTCTCGTTTTGTCCTGCTACCTGCTTCTCAGATTCTGCAGGACTCCGTAAACCTCTTCTTCTTTGCTAAGTCCCTCAAAGAAAGGCAGCAGGTCCAGGAGCTCTGTGTCATTCATGTCGTCAAACCAGGATTGGACGGGAACCTAAGGAGGCAGTCGACACCTTAAGATTAATTTAAAAATCGGCAAGATGAATATTTCTTTTTTTTTTTTTTTTTCCTACCAGCTCTATATTTATATAAACACTTCTGTTGACGAAAATGCAAACTTCATGAGTTGTTTTGTTACTGCGTACAATATACAGACAGACAGATAAATAGATGACGGATAGACAAATAGGTGGATAGACGGATAGATAGATAGAAAGAAAGTATATAAATACTTTATTATAACTTGCCCTTCAAAAACAAATGTCTGTTACTGGTCTCGTATTTGTAAATAATAAATTAATTTCCCCCCCCAAAAAATGTGACTTATACTGGTATACATATTTTTTTTCTTCATTATGCATTTTTTTGGACGGTGCGATTTACACTCTGTAGCGACTAATAGTCCGTAAAATACGGTAGTATTTCTAGGAGTAATAATGTAAGTAATAATATATTAATATATGATTAATAATATTAATTATTAATAATTATAATTTAATTATAAATTAATAATTGTAATTTAATTAATAATATAAATTATATATGAATAATAATATAAGTAATAGTAATAATAATAATAATATACAAGATATTAGATAGGATAGGTATTAGTTGGACATATGCATATATACACATATACATACACATATACAGTCAAATATAAATATGAAGGTAAATGCAAGCTTGTGGTCATTACATCGATTATTGTGGGGCGATTGCACATACTACCCTTACCCGTCGGTTCAACAAACAACTTACAGCATTTTCCGGGTGAAAAATATAGGAGGCAGGTGAATTGTCGATGATGATGACATTGCTGAGCTCTCGTCCTAGCCGGCTGAGGTCTTTGACATAGTTTCCTCTGTGAAAGACACAGGATTCCCGAAAGAGTCGCGCTTGAAACACACCCCACTGGTCTAGCAGGTCTGCCACAGGGTCAGCATACTGTCCAAAAACGATACATACAAAAAAAAAAAAACATGAGGAACATCATTTGTTGCATTTCACTACACACTAAAAGCTAGGAAAGCAAGTAACCATTACAGAGCGTCCTCGGTTTACGATGTCCTTGTTTTTGGGGCTACGCCGCCATCTCCCATAAATGCATTAAGAAAGTCTTGGTATGTCATTCCCAAACGTGGCATTTGAAAGAATTTTTCAAAGGATAACAATAGGTTTCACTTTACGCAGATGACAGCGTTATTTACATTCCACAGATGTAGGCTAATATTCATTGCTACATTCGTTTTCGTTGTTTTTTTTTGGGGGGGGGGGACTTTTTGCTCTTCATTATGGCTCTTAAGCACAACTCAGACTCTTGTTGGTGTTTTTATGTCCTAGATTATGATGTTAGCACTGTGTTAGCATAGGTGAGTGCCATAGGTACTTATGAGTTTTGACTCACCCGCAAAAAAAAAAACGCACTGTGTCGCAGCAATTCCAAAGTAAGTCGAGGACACCCTGTATACTACTTTTACAGATACTGCATTCCTGACAGGAAGGAAGCCAATAAAAAAAAAAAAAAAAACACAAAACAGTGACACTTTTAGAATACCAATCTCTGACACTAGATAGCCATGATGAAATTTTGAAGTTGAAGTTTTTTTTGGTTTTCTATCTCATAAAGCTTACCCATATTTTATGGTTAAAGATGGAAATCGTCTAAAGGATCAATAATGCAATGAGAAAAAAAAAAGTTCAGACAGAAGAGAAGATGGAATATGCAGAGCAGAACAGAAAAATAAAAAAAAAAAAGTATCTTGACAATGACTTCGTCAAAGCTGAGACACACCTTGGCCAGACTGGCGGTAAACAGCACACATTCAAACATCTCCCCCATCTTTTGAAGAAAGATATCCACATGGGGTCGCTTTAGCACATACACCTGCAAGAGACAGTGTTTTTGTGTATTACACAATTTAAGTGGCAAGAAACATATTTTTGTTTACACAACTCAAGGAAAGAGATTTTTTTTTTTTTAATTACATACTGTATTTTCCAGACTATAAGTCGCAATTTTGTTCATCCTTTGGCCAACCCCCGTTAAAGTGCATCACCGGCCAAGCCGGACGACCTCTGACCCGGCTGGTACATCTCCGGGTCCACTGTCGGACCACCTCTGGACTAGCCGGTCTGCATTTACGCGGCAAACCCCCGACTTGTCATAAAACTTGCCCGTTCTTCGAAAAATGATGTATTTTGCCACAAAACCTGGTGGTAGAGTTTTTAGCAACATATTTTTCACACCAGTTTTTTTTCAAACGTTCGTGCTCACGTGGTCAGAGTTGGTGCGGCTCGGCCGGAGATGCACTTTAACGGGGGTGTTGGCTGGGTTTCCCACTCAAGATACTAAAATATTGAATTTCACATTTGTTATTTTCACACTGACAGCCGCGAAACGGGACACTCTAGGCTTGTGTACCAGTATCACTAGTACTACTACTGTACCACTGAAGATGTACATGTTTCTTAGTTTTACACTGACAGCCACCAGAGGGCACTGCCTGGTGCGACTTATACTCCGGAGGACTTCTAGTCCATAAAATACAGTACTACCAAATGATCTAAAGCAAATGTTTTAGACCATGTTACAATATCTAAGACTTAAACAGAAAGTGAATGATAAAAAGATTTGATCTGCATTAATGATCTAAAGCAAATGTTTTAGACCAACGGGCTACATGTTACAATATCTAAGACTTATGATAAAAAGATTTGATCTGCATCATTTCTTTTACTTTGATAACACTCGTCATGGGTTACTTTTGAGGTACCTGTACACGTTAAGAGTTTAGGATAACATCAACTCAAGTCCAGCAGCTGCTACCCATTGCAAGTAATCATGAATAGGCCAACCAGGATACTCACAGCCTATCCTGGATTACTTGAACTGGATAGCAGCCATTCTCTTCAGGATCTTCACAATGGAACTCCATTTTTGTGTGTTTGTTGGCACTCGTTGACACAAAAGTATAATTTCAATGTTACAGCTTACGGGTTGTGGATACAGTACCTGATAAACGGTGCCATCAATCTCCACTGGAACAATAAAATCCGCATTGCTGATGGGCTGTAAAAACAACACGCAACATAATGTCATTCAACGCATTGGGTTGACGGATCAAATTTGACCATTTCTATTAGCAAAACAAATATACCAGTTCGAGTTCAACAAAAAAAAAAAGGTGTATCGTTTTCCTTTAGCAGAATTACTGGATCTCATGATGTGATGATTTTCTACCCCGGGGTTAAAATTCACTCTCGTGCTCACAGCTACCATGTGTCTACGTGGTGAAATATAGTCTATAGTCCAATTGCACTAAACGATCTGTCCGACGTCTGCTAAATGTTATTTACCAACAAGTTGATCTCAATAATCCTCTTACCTTGAAAGAACTGTGGACGAGCGTTTCATCCAAGTCAATTACCACACACTTTTTCCCATAGTCGGATATTTTTATCTCAGGTAGGAGGTATTTAGCTGGTGGCTGAGGGAAAGATACGGGCAGAATATAAGACATAAGAACACAACAGTGGTTATATTAGACATGCAGATTGACGGAGGGAATTCAAAGAAGAGGGTTACATTGTAACATTGTTACATTGTATAAGTGACGCACAGTGAGATGGAGAAAAGAAGCAGAAACGAAGTACGTAAAAAATCTTTTTTCCCCAAAGTATTAGCAATGCTCCGAAGAGGCCCAAGGTCTTTATTCTTCTGATTATCACTCATTTGTTTTTGTTACGTTATTTTGCGGTAATTTTACAGATTTTAATTTATTTAAGCTCTACCCCCCCCGTCCCCCCCGAGATCCTTAAACGTTTTGGTTGAGAACACACGGAAATCAGAATGATGTGGCTTTTGTTCAATAGAAGCGTGTTGTTTTTGTTTCCACTCACGTATTACGTAATTGTCATCTATAAAATCTATTAAAGTGGGAAAAATCTGAACGAGACAGGAACTGCATGCAAACTATATTTTCTAATTTTTAGCGCAAGTCATATAGTCATCGCAATATCAAAAAGAGTGTGAATGTGAATTGCATGGAAATGAACCACGGCAACATATACATACAATCATACAAACCGGGACAGGGGTGACCTTGACATGGTCAAACTACATTACCAGAGGGACAGATATGTATGTAGAAAACGCAGTGAGGAGTTAAGAAAAAGAAAAAAAAAAAACAGACAGACACAGAGACATGTTTGTGATTTCATAGTGTTAGCGTAAAGTTTGGCTTTGGATAAAAAAAATTGTCTGCCAAATGCGTAAATGGAAATTGTAAATGTAACGTTGCAAGCAGCTCACTTTGGGAGGTGATCCGTTCTCCTCGACGGGTCCAGGCAGAGAGCCGATGTTGGCGTTCGTGGGCGGCGGTTCCACATTGTATCTGCGGAAGCAGCAGAAGTATTTGCCGAGGATGCTTCGGTGCCTCTGCTTCTTGGGGCTGCTTTTCGGTTGTGATGCTGTGAACACCGATTAGAAATTGAACACATGGACTTGCAACATATATGCAATGATTCCACAAAGCACTGCTGTAATGCTTGAATGATAACAAGCCTCCAGTCACCAGGTGGAAGACTTTTTAATGTTTTAAATAATATTTGAGATCGGGGGGGGGGGGGGGGGGTGTGGATCGGAGGCATGAAAACATTTCTGTCCCCAAGGAGGAGGGTTTGGGGGGGTGATAGAAAATAATTGAGAACCACTGGATTAGCCCAACCTACAAACAGATTGACAAACGTAGTAAAAAGCCTAGGTCCTGGCTTGCAGGTTTGCAGAATATTTATTCAACGTCTTATTTCTAGTCAGTCCTCCTTTACATGTGGAAGACATCAACATTGTGGCAGTATTACCCAAAAATAGATAATGGGAAAAAAAAAAAGTTGAATGCAAAGTTTGCAAGAAGCAGTTTGCATATCACGACGTCGCGACGAAACACATCGCAAATCAGCTAAAAACGGTAAAAATACATTTTCCTGCATCAGTTTGCTGTGTCCGTTTCGATTATATATAAACGTATCAGAAATGGCATATTTCAACGTTTAAGTCTAATTAGCATTTTATAACAGCAAAGCGCACCCGTCCGCTACAACAACAACATCCGTCAGATACAGCTCAGTGTTACCAAGAGCTAATTTGTCGTGCCGTGGCTGCAGCAGCAGGTCATCTGGTGGGACATTTCAAAAACTGGACTAAAAACGCTAGCAGCAAAAATTGTCCCTCAGCATGAACTTATTCAGGATGTGTCTATGTGTTGGAACTGTATGGCAGTGTTGGGTGATTCTCAGGCGTCCACTGTGGAGGCTTATATGCAACACTGCCATCAAAACCTATTCTTATCATAGAAAATGACATTTTCATAGCTGTCCACTGTAGTGACCGTCATGCATGAAAGGGTTAAGAGAGCCTCCTGTACTGCTCTATATCGAAAGACAAGAGCACGTCGTGCCTTTGGTCGTCGTGCAGTATTCCAACATGACAACGATCCAAAGCGCACATCTAAAGCAACTGTTGCTTTTCTGAAGAAGAACAGGATGAAGGTGATTGAACCCAAACAAACACCTATGGGGGATTCGGAAGAGACAAGTTGAACATCATTCTCCATCCAGGATCCAGGCACTACAAGGGGGTTGTTCTTAAAGAATTGAAAAAAGATAAGATGTTGCAGTATGTTGCCAACTTGCTCATTCCATACCTTAGAAGACATTTTGCTTCAACTAATTTGAGTTCAACTAAAAAGATTTTGTGAACCAACCTAAATCATTAAACTTACTTTCATGTCATGGAGTTAAATAAATGTTCAATGAAACTCTTGAAATGAATGAATGAAAATTTTGAAAATTGTTCTTGTGTTCATTGAAATATATGATTGAGATATATTCATTGAGATATGATTAAAATGTGACTTTTTTTATGCTGAGCACTCCACATTTGCTTCAAACCAAACAGAAAAAAATACAATAATACTGGTTGCTGTGTGTGTGCACTAATACATTTAATAGAAGGGCAGCTATTCTATATTTAAGCAGCCAAATCAGTGTGAAATATTAATATACATTTTTAAATGTTACAATGGGTTATGTTTCATTGATTTGTGTTATTTCATTTTAAAGTTGTATTTGTTCTGTTGAAATTTATTTGTGTTTCAAATTTTCACAATTTTGATAGAAACCTTTTCCTCAAATCACTTCAGTATCAATACTTTTTTTTTTTTCTTTCTTGAAACCTGTACAAACGGAGAAGTGTGAAATAAGAAACAATAGCTACCATGTTTGCATGTGCGGTTATACTTGGCTCAAGGTCAAAAGTGCTCTGGCCAAAAGGGCAGCTATTCTATATTTAAGCAGCCAAATCAGTGTGAAAGGCTGGCACATGTTGCAAGACAGCTCGTTAAAGAACACCGAGAGCAAAGACGTTAAATTTCCGTCCAGACAAATTGGAGCCGGTTTAGGTTTGTCATTACGAATAGCTATGCAGTGGCTTTCCATTAACTTGACTGTTACATTTATGGCTTACTGCAAAGTTCACTGTAAAGTACTTCCAAACTAATGACATTCGTTCAGCGCTGACATCGAACGGCTCCAAGACTGGCAATATATGCACTGAACAGCTGGTCACCAAGCTGGCCGATAACCAGCTGGTCGAATGGTGCATCTCTAGTTAATTTATATCTGGGTCAGATACGAGCTTCTGAAATGTTCTTTGTTAAAATGTTTGAACGAGTCTCGTTTATTGAATAACTTCAATAAATAACGTTTTAACTAATTTTTCAAACTACTGTTTTTTTTTTATTGTTACTTGGTGCAACCAAATATTTATATATAAGAAAATTCTAGATAAATTCTTTGGCAACTATCCCTTAGTGTTAAGAATATATAATATAACATTATATGTCTCTGTGGTGTTTGGTTTTTTTGTTTGTTTGTTTGGGGTTTTTTTTACAAAAATGTAGGGATTTTTGGATTTAGGAGGTCAGGTTTTGAGTATCGTTAGCATGCAATTTTATGTTTTAAGAATCAAAAATATAATTACACAAATTCATACTTTCAATATACAATACATACAACTCAAAAAAAAAGTTGGATATCTATAGAGATACGGACATGGCAACGTCTTAGGAACAAGATGATGCCATATCTTTTAATAGAAATAAAGGTTTTCAACCTACAAAGGGCTTAATTGTATAGAAACCTCAAAAATCTAAATCAACATTAACAGCAGTTTTCTGCTGGAGGTCATTCTGCAGGGCATGAGCAGTGCTCAACCTATTCCTCCTTGGACAAAGGAGCAGGTTTCGGTCCTGCTGATGGGTTAAAACCTACGGCCATCTCCAGCTCTAAGTTGGACAACCTGTGCAACTTCTTTAAGGTTAAGGAATGCCTCACACTGCCAGTAGTGATTATGACTCCAGCAAAAACCAGCACTGGTGGAAAATCAGCCAAAAAAAAAAGTGTTCCTTTAATTTTGAGCAGTGTAATAACAGTCATGTGTGTAAATACATATGACACTAGGTGATATAATTTGTCACTGTGGGCTTTTTTTTTTTTTTACAATAATGTGGGAGTTTTTGCATTAAGTAGGTCAGGTTTTGAGTATCATTAGCATCTAAATTTACAATTCAAAGACAGGAAAAATAATTACACAAATTCGTAGATTCAATTTTATGACTACATACATTAAATAACCAAATCAGTTGCACCACCAGACAATTTAATCTTTTTAATTTAATCTCAAATTAAACAGACTTCTGGTTGGATGCTAGCAATAGCTTGTAGTTGGATGCTAGCAATAGCTTCTAGTTTTATGATTAAATATATTTTTTCTAATTTTACATAAATTATGAAAACAAAAAAGGAATCAGACACAAAAATATGCCACATGTCAGCGACACATCACACAGTACAGAGCAGAATTAACCTCATGTTTGTGCAGTCAGCCACTTGGGATAAAATGCTCACAAATCCCTGTCTGCTGTCCAAACTTAAACACTTAACTTGTGTACTATAAGGAGTTATCTGTTAGGAACACTGCACCAAAGTAAGGCCCAACTGTGTGTGAAAAAACCTGCTGCATTGAAAAAGATGCACTACGTAAGAAAAAAAAAAGAATTCCAAGAATTTAAACTGGTTTATCAAGATATCCGAGCAGTGGGAACAAGCTGCAGTTCATGAGATGAACATTGTACAAGAGTGGGTCAGAATCTCAATTAAAAAAAAACAAACAAAAAAAAAAACCCCAATGATGACAGTACATATACTTGTATTGAGTTGCTTAAACAAACTTGCAGTGGCTCGATGGGTCCATGACATTGCTAAGATTTAGAGCTTCAGCTTGGAATAACGACAGGTACTGAATATCCAATAGTTCCACTGTCTTTTTGGTTCTGCTGATAAACATGTTCCAATTTACACATTACAGGAGCATAAAATACCACCTGAACACTTAACGGTTGTTTTGTGTGTTTAAGTCATATTTAACAGGTTTTTCTTGAATTTCCCCTTTCTATATATAGTATATACTATATGCATAGATAGATAAAGAGAGAGAAATAAAGAGAGAATTAAATAATTACTCACCCCAGGGTCTAAATTGTTGTTTTCTAGATAATTCGATAAGGCTCGTTAATTTCAAATTTGACGAGTGTACAAAAAAAGTGAAGCTCTATCTTGCTTTATGCTATCAATTCTAGGTATTACTTTACAACTAAACCACCTTTTAATAATTCATATATGAAACGGATACAGATATGAGAGATTATAATCGACGAATGAGATAGAACATATGCACTATATTTGATGCAATGATTTCCCCTTTCTTTATACATACTTATTTTATGCACTTAACACTTGAGCTGCGCTGCAGACCCAATCATAACCAAACGTGTGTATTTTGGTGTTATGTAAATCTTTTTTGTTTAGTTGAGTTGCATTCAAATGTAGTATTTGTGCTGTGTTAGGTAGAATAAAGGGAAACGGCTGTTTGTCAACAAGTGTGTGTTAATTGTGATACGGACACTTTGAATGAGGATAAAACCACATGACTGGGCAACAAAGCATCTCACAAAAAAAAAAAAAAAACCCCGCTAAGACCTAAATTGCTGTTATAAAACTCCCAATTCTTTTTCGCGGTTAACGGTTTATAGCCCTTAATCACCAAAGAGCTTGGTCTACGTACACGGCGCTAATATCGCTACAGTTTTGTTAGCTTCTTATATTACAGCTCGGTTCTTACCTTTTTCCTGGTTAAAAGATATAATTTCCTCCTCCTTTGGGTTAGCGACTTGGGTTATTATGGACATGTGGTCCATTTAGACGACTTGTTATTCCTGTGGTTTCCAACACAGTGATGTTGCGAATCCGCGCTGGCTCCGCTTGTTAGCCGCAGCTGCTAACTTGTTAGTAGCTTAAACCCTGAATGAGAGGCGACTCCGCAAAGACGCGGTGGTGAGTGGAAGGTAGACAGTAGCTGTCATTTATGGCCCTCCGCAGAAAACATCACTACGAGATAATATTTTTTGCAAATATTTTTTTTTGTTTTATTCCTAAGAGCAACAACAAAACTGGTGATGTTGAGTTGCTAGCTTTGCTTAAGCTAGCACCTGGCCTGGGGTTGGCGCTTCAGATTAAAAACGCCTGCGCTTCATGCAAAATGCCAGGCCAAAGGCCGGAACTACAACGGCAGTTAAATCGTTCGGAAGCCCTGAGGACAAAAAGGAGACCCGCAAAAACAAAAGTTGTCCAAAATAAAGTTCACTAACACATGTGAGCCAACAGCTGTAAAGTGTCGCCCCTACATTTCGTGTACAACATGGAGGTATGTATTTTGGGTAGTATGTGAAGCGGGGCAGTGTCACAGTGGGAGGCGATTGTTTTTTTTTTTCTGTTTTTTTTTTTTTGTTTGTTTTGTTTTTTGTGGACTCCCTCTGAGAGAATTACACCAACAATACGATTTTCTTTAGTACATTAAAAAAGCTTTTTAAGTTTTAATGGTCGTTCATGAACACACTAACCACAAGAGTTCACAAAACCAACACAAATCACAAGGTTATAATTATTAGCCCGCGGCTAATAACTCCTTATATAATAAGTCTAATAAGTCATTTTGATAAACATTGATGTTGCATCACAAGTCATTTTGGGTAGTTCTCTTCAAGCTGTAGGCAAGTCTGTCACGGTATCCCCACCCCATGTTTTCTTGAAAGATTCTTCCTACATAAAATAATTACTTACAACAACTTATAGAAACACGTTATTACTTATCTGCATGGTCTAAATCACTGTGTTTTAACACACAGCAAGGGTGCCTTACCTCTCCAAATATTGGTAACACATTTTTTGGACAGTCAGTGACATTGAAATTTCCTGGAAACAGTTTATTTCTTATATTTTGGTTTTTTGTCTTGTTAGAATAAAAAAAAAAAGAAACACGATTTCTAGAGTCAGATGCACTTGATCCCTCCCGACAGTATTATGCCCCCATCTAGCGGTTAATGTGGGAACTGTCTACTTTAGAGCGTACCTCTCCGTCTTTTAATCCAACAACATCAACATTTATGTTGGGCGGAGTGCTCTCTTTAATAATTAGTCTCAAGGTGTATTTTATTAATTTCATTTTTTTTTCATGTTTCTGTCTGTGAAGCTATTATATGGCATATAGCCAGGTGTGCTTGCATTTAAATGGTCATCTTGGTTCTGTCTATTTGACTTCCAACTGAAACACTTTCATCTTGGTGTTCAAAATGAAAGTGATCTCATCTTTGAACACACTTAGCATTAGATATTAGATTTTATATGTTTAGATTATATAAGTTATTTCTTGGTTGTTGTAAGCTGTGTAAGCACATAGCTTACTGGTTTGCTCCGCCCTAAATTCTCTCTATTGCTACTAATGTCAGATTTGTTCTCTAGCTGCAAAACAAAAGCAGGAAGGTGTAGAAATTCTGAAGATTCCGAGAAGAGATCCATATGATAGGATCAAAGTCTTGGATTTTTGGATGATTCTTTTTTTTTACGCCACAGCCCAACACCTGAAAACATATTGAATAATGAGAACAATGCAAACTTTAAATCTGCGATCACCTCGCAACACATTATAGGTCTCTATTAGTAGCCTAGCTAAAACAAATACCTCTCCCTCTCTTAAAATGTTTTTAATTCAATTATATCACTATTTTGTTCAATTCTTTCATACTTCAAAAAATTGGTCTGTTGTTTGGTAAACACTTTTTTACTGTAAAGTAGACAAAACCGCCATCTAGTGTCCAGACCAATTACGAATACTAAAATAGTAATTTGACATTGACCAGGATTTACATAAGTACACAACTGTAACTGTAACTAACTAAAATGTTCTAAGGACTCACATATACAATATATGTATAATAGGTATAATATGCAATATATTTAAAAAAATTTGAATTATTTCATATATATTTTAATTAAAATGGTTTTAAATGTCTGCAGATTTTTTTTGGCAAGCCCAAAATATATCACCCGCTGCCCCCCTCCCCCAGTTCCCCAATTTAAGTTAGTGGAATGTGTCAACTAAACTGGAAGTCCATACTAACAGTGTCTTCCAAAATTTAGGAACCACTAGTCTAGTTAAGTGTTTTTTTTTTTATTTTCTTCTTTTGTCTTTGTATACTCTCCTAAAAAAAAAAAAAAATCGAATGGACCGCGCTTGGTGGAGCACCCCTCACCATTGTGGACTCGGAAGGAAGGATAAAAATATCCACTTCTCTCTACCTACCTTCTCCTTCTCCTACTCCTACTCCTCCTCTGGGTGAGCCTGTAACATCCTGACTGGCTGGTGCCGGTGATTGCAGGCAGCGCCAGCTGCAAAGCCCCCCTTACAAGACAGATGAATTAGGAAAAAAGCTGCCGGAACCACCGCCGCTCCCCCTTCTTTATTTTATTTATTGTCTGTGCTGAAGAGTTGGGCTGGACACACTGCGGCCCTCCTCCTGCCAGAGTCAAGATACCAGGTTAGTGGAATCAAGTCTTGTCTTGTTTACTTGCTTGTGCACAAAGAGTTAAGCGAAGAGCCGCATTTCTATGCAGGACGAGCTCCTTCTTAACCATGGTAACACATCTCGTTTGTCCAAATGCATTTTCTTCAGAATACAAAGACACACACACACATGGAGCAATCCATCCAACTGACTTACTTTTTTTTTTTTTACCTATTTGCATCGCACTATTATTGGTGA